AAAAAAAAAGAGAGAAACAAAAGCTTTACCTGCATGTGCGGGATTGTCAGGAACACAGTTGTAAGTATCGCCGATTCGAAGTGTATATAAACCCTCCTTGCATTCGCAGACACCGTTTCGGCAGACTGAATCAAGTAGGCATTCCATTCCGTTCGAACAATCCCCACCTGAAGCATTTGTGCACAAAGGTGCATTGTTTGTAGATGAGAAGTTGAAATTATAATTTTCCAGTTAAACATCAATAATTTCAGAAACGAAGCAAACCCAACTGCCATGCACCAGGCTTATCGGTGTGATCGTGCGTTTTTGTATCAAACTTGAAGCAATCATATGGTTGACAGCATAAACGAATGGCTCCTAAGTTGCGGTTCAACATTAGAACTCAGACTAGCTGTTCTTTGGCCTTTTCATGCATACGGGAGAAAAAAAGTCGGCTCGGATGATTAAGTTTCATCACGTGACTGCATAAACTTCCATGGTGCACAATCATAAATTTTACAGTGGTGAGCAATGAATAGTTCTCGGTGATCGCTCGTTCATCAAAAAAAGCAAATTTGACAATGAACAGGACATCAGGACAGAAGGATTGCGAAAACCACGAAATATGTTTCAGGTTGCGATAAAATTGATTGTTTGTCGTGTCCACATGCAGGAAATTTGACCTTTAAGCTGAGTTAGGCCACATAGGAATATGGAATATGCTTGCAACGTTTTAGCTTCGTAGTTTGTTAGGTAAGTGAAATTGCCACCAAGCCACAAATATCTTAGACGTGCCTCAAGGCGAGGCGCAAGTGCAAATCAGACTCGATTGGGATATACAATTTCCCAGGCAGACGAAAAATATTCTGGCAAAATTGCAACTGTTGTTTCACGACTAGCTTTTGATTTTGTGCAGCGTCAGCTTGCGAAATTTAACGTGAGCGCGTACGGTAGCTCAATTTGAAATCTTTAGCTCATACACGGGCACAAGATATTTTTGCAAGGTTCCAGTTTCCTAGTCTATCTGTTCTCAAAATCGTGTTCCCGCAAATAAATTTACATATTCCTCAAAATGGTCCATGCGTGAAATCTAGACGCGCTTGGGCAATTTTAAAGCAAGAGGGCGACAAATGGGGTGAAAATACGCCCCTAAAATTTCACAGCTTTCCCTGCTGCTGAGTTGAAAGCGGGTAACAAAGTCCACTCGCTTTCCTGATTATATATATATATATATATATATATATAAAACACATACATAAAAACAAACTCTCAACGATATGCGCTTTTACCTCTGAATAAAACGCAAAAACGCATAAAAGGTGGACCTGGAAATGCGAACTGACTCTCACTCAATAATCCGGCTAGCGAATCTGGAGCCGAAGTGTTTCCTCGCAGTTTCGGTAAATCTGACCTGAATTTTCATCAGCTATAAAAAAGTTTTCTTTTCTTTTTTTTTATTTACTGTAATCGTATTCATATCTGATCAGTAACCCATTATCTTCATGCGTTTCTGCTTAATATTTTTTTCAAGAGAAATCATATTTGTCACGGGGATTATTCTAGCAGCAGTGGCTCCGAGTGAGAGCTTTTTATGAGTTGCTTTCATAGTACTGTAAAATAGACAACGCAGTGGAAAATTACTTGGCGGTCTTTCTCAGCAAGTACGTTCTATTTGGTTTTATTTAAAAATTTGTCTAAAACTTTTTAGTATTTCTAATTGCTGGAATGTTTGAAAATACTTCAGTTATTGAATCCCCTTAAAAATAATGTCGTTCACCAATAAACACATGCGTTCGGGAAAATGAGAAAATATAGCAGTATTTTTTGAACAGATAGAATGGCAAAAACATACTCAGTGAACGGCTGCCCTGGACCATTCCATCCTATAAATGCATGTTCTTCTGCATTCAGATCTTCGAGCCATTTAATCAGCGGTTCATAATATTCCAACAGTGCATTTCCATCTAAGTCTGCGCTTCCTGAATTATTTTTCAGTTGATCTCACTGCAGTTAAATACATTGCTTTCAGTGAACCATCAAGTCTAAAATCATTTCGACCTAAAAGTCAACCACGCGTACTAAGCTGTTGGTACTTCTTGGAATAATTCTTATCTCTTAATATTAGTCGTGAAAACTTCGGCGTTTCATCTTTTGAGAAACAGAAGCAAATCTATGGAACAAGCTAGTAAATCGCGCATATCAGTCCCCCTTTCGAGAATTATTTGAGAATTTTGAGTTTTAGTTTCCACCTTATTGTGCATTCTACAGCAAACTGATCGCCCAAACTGGCCATCAGTGGCTCGTCACGGATAACAACAGCTCTGTACAAATCCTCTCTCGGGACAACCGTTGCTTTACACTGTTACACAACACCCTCTCATCATGTTGCAGTTTTCTTTAGCGAACTTTTAATTTAAGATGACCTGTTACAATTTGTAATGCCTCGCGCCAAGTAACGGAAGATCCAAATGCCATTACTTTTTTAATATTGTCGATAGTTGCTCCAGGCTGTATAACACATCCGCTGCTCTAAAAAAGTTCTTCACGATCTAAAGCACTTAGCGCTATGGCTGAGAAATTGCGCAGACACCAAAATTTGCGTTTCTTAAGACATTCAAATTCTATCTTTGAAAAGAAAACCCAGGCTGGAACGCACCAGGCGAGCCGGTGCGATCATGCGTTTTTGCACAAAACTTGAATT